TCTCTCTCTCTCTCTCTCTCTCTCTCTCTCTCTCTCTCTCTCTCTCTCTCTCTCTCTCTGCATGTCTGTCTAACACACACAAACATAACTGTTGTATACATGCTGCCATCGTACACAGATTGAAATAACTCTATCTCAAAGGTATCTGACCACATTTACAGCCAAACATGAATGCATCAGAGAAAGAGAGAAAAGAGAGAGAGAGAGAGAGAGAGAGAGAGAGAGAGAGAGAGAGAGAGAGAGAGAGAGAGTAGAAATGTCGTCCATGTTCTCTTATATGGTTCGCTGAGCTCTACGTGATACCTAAAACATGCAGAACGAGGAAGGCTCCCTCAAAAATAGCTGGCCCACTTTTCACCAATTGTTTTTTTTTTTTTTTTTTAAAGAGCCCAAAACATAGCTTCTGCCGTACATGCTTGGCTCTTGTACATTATCCCAATCTTCACTTGCTTTGAGTATTTTCAGGAAGTATGTGACCATTATCTAGTGTTTCCCATTCCAGTGAAATGTCAATGAAGCAAGCATGGTTTTCGTTAAACCGCCAGCACTTCCTGGAGTCGTCCCTGCTACGGGAACGCCCAAATTCATCCCACTAGAAAATAAACTTTTCTGCTCTGTTTCTTCCCACGGCCTGTAGCGGCGCCGAATACTGGTGGTTTAACGAACCGGACCGTGCTCGTCTACGTCCCAACAGTGGGACTGGTTTCTGTGCCAAATGTGTGCTCGACGATTCCCTGCCGTCCTGACTGCGCCCCCACGCCCCGCGTGGTATCAGTAGAATAAACTTCTCGTCTTTCTGCCTAGGATAAGGTGAGTTATGCAGACATTGTTGACTGATTTGAAGTTATCCGGGGTCCAAGTCCCACTACCAGCATTGAATTTCTTCAAGGCCTGAATCTGGACGTGTTTAGGACTATGTGCGGTTGAGGAAACTCAACGTGATTTCGACACAATCTCCACAAACACGTCCAGATGCAGTCGTTGCGGAAACTCAACGTTCCTAGTGGGACTTGGCCCCGGGTTCTTTTGGTCCCATCAAAAGCTAAAACCGGCTAATGCTGCTGCCATAAGTTTCTTCTTTTCCCACCCACCCCAAAAAAAAGAAGAAGTTTCTTCTCCGCGGGTTGAATTGTGGGCCCTCGCACTGGCACTTGCTTCCCTTTTTCGTAATAAAGGTCTTGCTCCACTATGCAGCACTGTACATGCATTTGGACGGTAACTGGACCAGACACATTAAAAATGCTGGACTCGTCCCAATGCACGTGGTAGGCAAAGCATCCGAATTCATGTAGAGTAGTGGTTTTGTATAGTGGAGCGAAGGCCCTAAACAGTCTCGTGATTGTCCGCCATTAACCAGCCTTTTTTTTTTTTTCTTTTTTTTTTCATAGCCAGTGTTCGCAGCCCTAAGGCCGCGGTATAGTGGGCTTCGATGTCTGTGTCAAGGTGCCGCATTTTCGGGGGCGGGCGACCAAGATGCAAAGAGGGTTTTTAGGGGAGACAAAAATTTGGGGGACCGGTCCTTAGCGACATTGCGGACTACCTACAGCTAGCTCTAGTAGAACCAGGACTTCTCTTATACCTTAAAGCAAAAAGCGGTCTGCGCGTGACGCTCCCGCTGGGCCCAACAAAATTCGCGCAGGGAGGTCGGCGCGTGGTGCCGCAGGAGACCTAGGAGGGCACGACGGTTGGGGAGGCCGGTAGCCGGGACGGGCAAGGTCCTGACAGGTATCGGTTCAGCGCTCCTAGGAGAGTACGACGGTTGGGGAGGCCGGTAGCCGGGACGGGCCCGGCCGTGACAGATATCGGTTCAGCGCTCCGAGTCGTATTCTTTTTGAGTCCCCGCCCGCGAGTTCAAAATATGGCCGCGTATTTTCCCATGATCTAGCAGGAGATTCATTCTCATTTTGCACATCTGGTGAGGGCCTCGCCGCACCACTATCCACCCGCCGATTTTTGCACTGCTTGCAGGGGCATCGTTTCGTTTTTTTTTGGGGTAATTTCTTGCCCCCCCGCACCGTTTTCATTTAGTTCTCGCAGCCTTCCCCTCCCGCACTTGGATCGCATCACCCGTCTCCCTCCTGTGGTCTCCATTGCAGCCTCCCCGGCATTCAAACACAAGTGCACAGGCGCGTCGTCGCCATCCTCACATTCGAATACGTCCCTCATGAAGGAGAAACGAGAATGAATCTTTCTCTGGATCATGGGAAGATGCACTGCCATATCAACCAGGCCACAGAATATAGCTCAGCCTGTCAGGTGCGGCCTGGCTGCGGCAAGGAACAAATTGTCCCTCATGTTGCAATGAGTTTTTTCCAGTCTCCCTCATGGTCTCCGTCGCGTCTGCGGCGCCGCGTCTGCGGCGGGCATCTACTTGTTTGGAAAAAGGAAGGACCTGTCCTCGGGTGGAATTGGACCCCAAAAAGAAGTGAGGGCATGTGAACTGCAAAAGGGCCCTCAGGCCTAGGCGTTGAGTCCCATCTTCTCAAAACAGCGAGGTCAGACGCAACCAGAAAAAGGCGGTTTGCAAGAGGCAAACTTTGGCAATTTAATGTGCTCGGAGGAATCCACAGAAAAATCTGAAATTTTGAGAATCCATAGATGAGGTCGTGTTCTTTCCAGGAAAAATATCAGAGCATTTTCAAAAAATTATTTATTTAGACCGCGAAATAATAGTTGGGCCAATTCGGCACATTTTCCATTTTTGCCACTCAGCCATGTATGGGCCAACTGAAAAAGTACTCCAAATTCAGTGAGTTCTCGGGCTCAGAAGAATGTGTGAAAAAACCTTAAAATTGGCCTACTCGTACATTTTGTTTTGATCTTTCCAGGAAGAATGCTAAATAAATTCTTAAAAAGCATTCCAAGTGTAATAGATCCCAACCGCAATTTGACCCATATTTCAATTTTGCCATTCAGCCCCTATCTCTTTCTCTCTCTCTCTCTCTCTCTCTCCTGTGCATGCTCTTAGGGCTGCGTTCCCCGCGCCCACGCTGTAGACAATGTCTAACGGTCAGTCGAGGGGCCTCACTCCACTACGGTAGTCTGCATATGCACAAATGACAGAAGAAATGGCAATGTATCTTTTCATGTTCTAGGGGAGGATTCGGTATCATTTTGCACATTTGCAGGCACAAGAAGACAAGAAAGATGGCAATGAATCTTTACACGTTCTAGAGGAGGATTCGGTATCCTTTTTTGCACATTTTGGAGTTGGAGAGTAGTGGAGCGAGGCCCAAGGTTGACGCGGACTCGGCGGTAAAATCGACTCCTGTTTCTCTTTTCGGCAGGCTACACATTCCTTCACCCTCTTAGCGGAGGGATTCGTGCGCTCAACACCCCTAATTGACCCCTACCTATAGCTCGGCCCCCTCCCAGTTAGGTAAGTAAGTGATCCACGTTTTCACCTTGGCGGGCGGCTTTCACCCTGGTGGTACGTCTTTGTGACATGAGGGTTTGTGACACATGAGTCTTTGTGACATGAGTGTGCGCGCGCGCGTGCGCCACGTGTGGTTTCGCGATTGCCACATTACCGGGCATATGGAAGGACTCAGGGATGCTGAGCTGTCGATCGCTAATTAGCTTATCTGTCATCTAGACGTCCACGTCATCATCGTACGTGTACCTGCTCAGCGCAGCGCTTGGCGCTCTGCGTGGTTGTGTTGGCATGCGCACTTGCGCGCGTGCGCGCTAGGCGTTCTGGGACGGAAAGGATTGGCGCGCAGTCCCCCTCCTTGCATGCCGTGGACTTCTGGGTAACGGGTACTTCGCCGCTCTGGTAGTTTGTTTTAAGTAGACCATTTTGTTTTGGCTGGTGTGTGAGAGAGACGGGTTGTGCCGTAATTCACGGTGGTGCATGCCAAGAGAGAGAGAGTGAGAGAGAGAGAGAGAGAGGGCGGGGGGGAGGTTGTACTGTAGTTGGCGGTGTTGCATGCCAAGAAAGAAGGCGGGGGGAGGGG